ATATTCCACCAATTCATTATGGCCGTCTGTCATTTTGAAGGAAGCATATTTTTCGCTATGGTAGTTGTCTCCCCCCAGGATTTTTCTTAGCTTCATCCAACCCAGGAAATCATTGTTTTCTCAGTATGCAAATAATCTGCCAACTTGCGAATAATAGACTTAAATCTCCTCTTTATCCTGTTCCCTCGTCGGCGCATTCGCCAGTAAAATGATGTTTCCTGTCTCGCTTGGCTTTAAGGGCCTTCCGGGCCATTTCACATGGGCTCGCCGCACCAAATAGTCGCATGGACGGGATTAGAATTACACTGCGTGCTCTAATCATGTGTGCAGATTTACTTGTTTTCAAGCAGTTAGTGGCCTCTCAGCATCACGCCTCCAAAAGGCACTGCTCGCTTTATGTTTATTTCGGCCCCAGCCATTGTTCCAGCTCTCAGACGCCAGTGCTAAGACGAAAGTGGAGAATTGAGCTTGGTTGTGGATACTCCCTACACTTTGTACACCTTTCACTCAGTCAGCATATTTGGTTCTCTCCTCGAGATTGGAACAGTATTAATGAGATCTTTACGAGAATTTGTAAAGTCGTTAGCCTTATGTCTTCCCTGAGTCAAGATTTCTTTTTTGGCATTTCTGTTCCCATTCCTGGCTTCTGCTTATCCTTGCTTCATTGTCCCCTTGTAGACCCCCAAATATGCAGTGACGCCAACCAAGAGGAAGCTTTTAGGAGAACAACTTTATTTATACTATATAAATACAAGAGAAATCATGAAACAACTCATTATATTTGCCAAGTGGCATCAAAGTTAAGAAGGTGAAACTATAGCAAATAGAGATGAAAAATGTTAGTTTGAGTTTGTCTCTGAACCAGCGAGCTTAACTTAGATTCATCTATCCACTTATTGAATGATTCGTTCAAGCGGAGCTTAAGCAACTGAATAGCTACATCCCCTAGCTTCAGTAAAAGGATTGTGAAATCTCTAACTGGATTGGATACCTCAACTATTGAGTGTGACGGCGAATATAAATAGCTTAGTGGGTGTGAAAGTAGAATAAAAAGCATATTTTGAAGTTAATATACATAAAACAGAAACTAAATAACTAGCATCGAATATTTGGCAGCCCCAAGCCTTTTAATGGGGACGTACAGCAATTTATGCAGACATCATTGTGCTTAAAAATACAAATAAGCCTAGTAAGCAGCGATACATTGTTGCCATTCAAATTTGCTCTTACTTTGATGAAGCAAACAAAGGCTTACGAATTATAAGGGACTTTGGATGAGCTGTTAGAAATTGGCAGAAGTTAGCGAGAAATTCTCATCGGCTGGCATAAGCTGAATCGAACATGTCCCTAAGTCATTTTTTGAGTATGGTACGAGTGATACTCAGTATAAAGCATCAGGAAGCTGCAATAAAATTTAACTTACTCAAAATTTTAGCAGCCTGGTATTTCTCGTTCGATTTTAAAGACACCCTATCAAATGGAGCCAGATTTTAATTACAATTTAATCTTTATATTTAGGTATGGAATCAAAATACCTTCTTGACAAGCCAAAAATTCATCGCTTCATGGTCTGTAAGTCGGGGATATAAGCAATAGGATTGGGCCAATTTTGCCTCTGTGATCTGAAGCGAAAACTAAGTATTCAGAGCGATCCTAGACTAATAAAGTAGTAATAGTAATAGTAATAATAAAGGCATATCTCACAGTCCTATACAGCCAAGGCATTTATTAAAAATTAATAAGATTATAGGGCATAATGGCCCAGGCCTAATACATTCTTGGCAAAAATATATAAAATAGAAACCACAAAAGCCGCTATTCAAATAACCACTAGAGTAAAACCCGGATAGGTCTAAATGAGACATAAGATTATCATATAAGTAGTCGAATTTATTATATTTTGAATACTAACATCGCAATGCCATTTATTTTTAAAACAAGTTCGGGCCATCTAACCCATACAAAAGAATATATGTGTATGTGTCTATTTATATATGCATAAATGTGAGGCATATATATATATAATATATATACAGATAATACAATCGGAACGCAAACTGGCAGCTAGTCTCAAGATTGAGAACCATATCAAATCAATTTTACTGTTATTATAATAATGATAAGGAGGGTAAGGAGCATGAAAAACGAGCCTGACCATAGAGGGGCAGGGATGGTGGCCGACTTTACGAATGGCTAGCAAGATTACCTCAGTCGGACAAAAATGCACTGCCAATTGCGACAGAATAGGCTTCGAAAATTGAGATTAGGGGTACTTAAGTATAAGTAGGGGTAATCTGCGTTACCACAGGCAAGTAGCATTCAATAATATAGAGATGTATTCACATACAGCCACAAACAGATAGTTAAGCACAATATGAAATGCAAGGTATCTCAAGAGCATAGAAATGAAAAGAACAGATGACAAAAAAGCATGCAGTTCTGAAGAGAGGGCTCACATAAGCAGGGCGTTGAAATTTTAAAAAATATTGAGAGGAACATGAAGACATATTAGTGGGAAAACTCGGAGACAAATCAAGTCAGTTGGAAGGGTTCAACAGGTAATTTAGGTTGGTAAATGATTGAAACTGAATATCAGTGAGAAAATAGTCTGAGACATTTTTCGATCTAAACACCCAACAACAAGATTAATATACCTCATCATTCACTAATAAATGAACTTTATAAAAGTAGCTTGCGTCCTCGTTATTTGCATGTGGCAATGGCGAGACATTGCTGGCATGCAGATACTCTAGAAGATTGAACCTATGCTTTCATGCACGAGTATATATATATATATATATATATAGCGAGCATTTAAACTATAAGAACAGCTATAAAGGTGCATCAAAGAGAAAATCGTTAGACGAACGAAAGCCCAAAGGCAAGAGATTAGCAAAACGATGGATGCTGTGTGCATGCAACCGTTATCAAAACGCTGTCTCAGAAAGCTCAATTGGTAGTGCGGAAAATGTTGACAAACATGATAGGCTTGAGTAGAATGAAATTAAGCGAAGAACGAGATATGGATGAATGGACCAAAGAGCAATCAAGAGTATACTGATAATGCATATTTATACTGTTGTCTCTAATTTTATTAAGAACTGAAGGATGAAGTATATTGCCGAAGTGCAATGACAATGATAGCGATGAAAGAAGTCTGCTCCCTCCAGCAAAGTGAATGAAGTCATAATAGAATAAAATGTACAATATTCTCAGGGAGCTATGAGATAAAAATAAATGAATGATATAAGTATATGAAAAATATACCTAAAGGATACCAGAATAAAGTCATTAGAAAAGGTAAGAGGTAGAGACCTAACATAAACGAGAGAATATAGCACAAAGTAATATAATCAGGATTTGTCCAAGAAACAACAATAAACTTTGGGATGCAGTTTTACCTTATCAAAAAGCAATGCTAGAGATGGATTGTCTTGCAATGAAATGACGCTAATCAAGACTAAGCAAAGTGGCTAGGATACAAGGTAGCAAGTAGATAAGTCATCAAAGGAAAATCGTCAATTCGACATAGAAACCCATCAGGAAAAAGCTAAGAAAGAATAAAATTAGGCGGCCGAATCATCTAAGATGAAAATTTGTAACTGAAATTCGTAAGTACCACCTCTTGTCAGAAAGCGGGAGCAGGATAGTGACGAATTGAGGAAGGCAAAAGATAAAATGCGAGGGGAATGATTGTGTGAGAAAATTATAAAAGAATGATGCAGTTCGAAGACAAATTTGCACCCAAGCGTGAAGGACCTGTAAATGCAAGAAAAATAGGCATGAATATATGCTGAACGTTTTAGCGATTGATAAATGACTCGAGCATGCTAAGCATCCATGCTGAATTCAAACCAATGCATAAAAATGTACAAATAAGAGGAAGATTGATTATTAAATGAGCCTGTGTATCAACTTCCATCGAATTTTCGCTAAATGTTCGTGTATACAGAATGAATATGGAGCACTTTAGACAATTATAAGCAACCGTTGGGATTTCAGGAACCTAAAGGCATAGCTTAAATAAATTAATGAGGGAAGAACTTATGGGTGTCTATGATAATAGTACATCTTTCATATCAAAGAAGATTTTTTTTGGTAATGGCCTTCCGAGTGCACCTATGAATTAGTTAAGGCGATGGGTAAATATATTAGGGACTTGATTTGCTGTCCAGCAATCATTTCCTGATAAAACTATAAAGGTATCCTCTAAGTAATTACGACTTGTAAGAATATTTGGAAGGTTGGCAACTCCGAGAGAACAGGCCTCAGTCGGAAAAGAAATACAAGCTATTTTTGATAAGGAATGTAAGGGGAAAATGTATTATATGGAATTGCAAATTTAATCAGATATCGGAAAATTCGAGTGATTATTGATTAAAAGACTAGATAACTTTTCCTCACGCCTTTATTTAAATGAGAATTATAAACTCACCATAATTTTATAGCAGAAGCCAACGCTCACAGCTCTGATCAGAGGCAAATGTATGCAATTTGAAGAGATTGGTAAATACGTGTGATTTTGTACTATTAGGAATTTGTGCTAATCTATAAACGAGCAAGAAAATAAGAGAACAATCAGGAGAAAGTAAAAAGTGATCGAGCAAACCGGTAAGTGGCGCCAATGAAATAGGAAAATCTGACTGAAACCGAAATAATATGTGTGAGTGGAGAAGGCGAATGAAATGCTCTGGGCCGACTAGCGTGGTACAAAATAGACGGGAGTGCAACAGAAATATAAAAGACGGAAGCTCATAGAGGTCACGAGGAACCGAGACCCGGAAGTGAATAGAGACGCTACCAAGATGTATATGCTGGATTTGTCTATAATAGACGTGAAGTCGAGAGATTAAATTAATAAGATTGGCAACGTAAAGTTTATCCTAAGGAGCCTAGGCCCAGAAAAAGAAATGAGTAGTCAATGATGAGGAAAAGTTAAAAGGACGAGCATATGTGTACAAGGAGTTGCGCCGTAGAGGGGAATGAAAAGCAATTCTTTACTAGGGAGATAAAAAGTGGTTGGTCACAGGGGCCACATCAGCAACACTCGCAGAATTAATAATACCACTACCTCCAGTAACCCCGCCAGAGGCACCAACAGAAGCAGATGCAACGAGTTGATGAGACAAAGGGTGTTGGTTCAGTTGGTGGATCACCTGGTGCTGTTGCTGCGGTTGCAGGCGAATTGAGTGCAGTTGTGATTGGCCTGTTTGGAAGTCAGTATGATAAATAACAGGAGAAAATTGGCTTTGCTGGCCGAGGCTCTGATGAAAGGCCACAGAACGTCGCTGAAGATGCTGTTGCTGTGATTGATGGTCTTGTTGTTGGGAGATGAGCTGCTGTTGTTGATGACCAAGCGGCATTTGTGGATGATTATATTGGTGCGCCTGTGTTTGATGTGTCTGCTGCAGATGTGAATGTACCAACGATGAGGCTTGGTGAAGTTGAGGAGGACTGGAAGCTGTATGAAAAAAAGCCTCGGTCGGAAGAGAGGCGCGCAGATTCGGTGGTTCGTTCCCAGCGAGGAAGACGTATCTGGTCTGACTGGTACTAGAATCGGAAGCTTGTAATCCTTGAAATTGATGAGACCCGGTGGCTGGAGGAGAACCTGGCAAGGGTATTGGTACTGATATTGGCTGTTGTTGTTGAAGTTGTGGAGGTGGAGGAGTCGATGAAATGGAATAGGATACAAGCCCAGCCGGGGAGAGTCTGAGAGAGGATTGAGAGCTGGTCATATGGCGAAGGGGTTCGCGGACTAGAAGCTGACCAGTTGGTAGCACGACGCCATCTCCGGATGAAAGGAGGGCAGCACCTGTACTATGTGTGGTAGAAGATGGAAGCATGAGCTGGCCGGAAGGCATAAATAGTGTAGTAGACAAATCCGATGTGCCGACAGCAGGACTGGTAGTGACAAAAGATGAAGGGCCAGCACTGGTGGTCAGATGGCTGTGAACTGATGGCTCATCGTCAAGTAAGGAGATTATGTCTGGTCCTGTAAGTAATGAGGACCTTCCCCGGTTTCCCATACCTAAGCCACCACCCTCAAACCCAGAACCAATAGGATAAACTGAGCTAGGACAGAAGACAGTTGCTACTGGAGGAGAAGCAGAAGATTGGACTGTGTTTGCGAGTAAGACACCTCCGGCCAAAAGATCCACGCAAGAGGAAGTCGATGATGACGTGGAAAGAGAAGATATAGAGTTTAATAGCCCACTACTTGGGGAGATTGAAGAAAAGCTAGTAATCGGGTTCTGAGTAGAGGATTGTTGTTGATGAGTGAAAACACTAGGGTGGATGCCTTGATGCTGATGCGATTGTAAATGTTGCTGATCAGACTGTTGCTGAAACTGAATGCTGGGCGGCACCTGCGAAATGCTAGCTGCCACTAAATTTTGTCCGTGTGCAATTTGGTTGACAACAGGCGAAGAAGCTGGCTGTAGAAGGGGTGGTTGCTGAACTCCGGAAGGTGAAAGTGTTGGCTGCAGTTGAGCAGGATGCATCGTTTGAAAGCGAGAATGGACTATGTTGGACAAGCTAGGGCCTGTAAACAATGAAGTTATAAAGTGAAATTTTATTAAATAGTTTAAATGACTAAAAGACGATAAAAATTAAGGATTCTTCTAGGTATCATAGATAATGAGATAGCAGATAAAAATTAGAACGACGGTTGTACTAGTCAAGGAATTCAGTCCTGGTGCATATGACATGCCTCTGAAAGATAAACTATGAATTATCAACAAAAGTTTAAAATATAATATTTTGTATTCAGAATAAATAGGTTTTTTACAAAAAACAGAGAACAGAAAAAAAAGAAAAATAAAGAAGTATGAAATTACGAAATGATAAATTGTATTACAACAAACGATAAAGTGGTGCCATAAGATTCTTTAACGATAAGATTTAAAGACATTTTCAACACGATCGAATGCCTGTAAATTATGATGATAGAAAATACCCCCAGAATATAGCACACCTTATTTATTATATCAAATTATTTTCAGCGTAACCGATTTTTCCAAGTAAAGCGTAAGAGCGCATGAAAAAAATTAGCCGATTAGAATTGCTTTGAAAGCCTGATGCAAATTCAGCCAGTCAAAGAAGTCACAAGAAAAATCCTGTTTTTATTCTATATTCCTAGTTCATTTTTAATAACACCAGCAGATTGGCTAAAGAAATTCGTCTGAAATATTTGGGCTACTCTAGACGATCCCACAAAGTATAAACATAACCATTGTACAAAAGTCGAGCCTCGGAATTGGTTTGGTTCTATATTCCGCGACTACTAGTAGCTGTTGAATAAGAGCAAGATTTACCCTAAGTTGCATAGTGATGGACTGATAGTGAATTTTCTGACAATAATATGAGACTAGTTAAAAACTACAATCCACCAACGATAATACCTTTGAGAAAGCAGAGCTAGGTGAAATTCAATGGAAAATTGAAGCCAAGTCAAATAGCAATGAATAGTTTGGCATGTAAAGGACAATGTTTTTGAAGTGATGTATTCAGCCTATTGCGTTTAAGCTGATGAAGAACTGCTAGTTTAATTTTCCCATAATGATATGAGTAGAGCTGAAATTTCCATAGAATTTTAATTATCCTTGCTTTCCTAAGAAGTGTTCATATCCAGGGTGGACTGCAGTTTCAACCTCGCTTTCCCAAACGTAAGCTTTACTGGTATCATTGCGGGAAAAAGCAATTACCACCCCTTCATCATCTAAAACAAAGTAAGGTAAATATATCTCACATAACCCTATCCCTACTTATAAAAGAAAAATGTTACTAATGCTCAAGAGAGTGATCAATTCGTAAGATATATCAAAGAATTTTTTTAACTAAAGGTTTACCAAAAGCAAAAAGTTGACATGCGTCAAAAATGTTTATATGTTGCAAGAAAACATAATCCAAATCTAAGGAAAAACTACTTGCCTGACAATACTGAGCTCGTTTGTCGAAAGCCACCTTTGGCTGCCTTACGTGACCTGCCAGTAATCGACTTCTCTCGTCGATCTTCAACCACAACACGACCCTAAAAATAAAAATTTAAGACAAAATGAGGGGAAAAATAATGGCAATATATATAATGAAGTTATTTGACCTTGTTTTCGTAACTTGGTCGTATTGGTAGGAAGACTTAAAGAAACGCACCTAGTCCGGAGTCCATTGTATGCATCATCGTTTCCAGAGTAAAGGAAGACTTAGAGGAACGCACCTTGTCCGGAGTCCATTGTATGCATAATCATTTCCAAAGTCGGACTGTAAACTTAGAACATTCCCAAACGTTTTGCCCGCATCGCAGTCGGCATCGTCAGTGATTTCTGCCATTCGTAGCACCATATTACAG